CCTACGGCGCATCTGAAGTGACCTTCACCGTGGCAGGTGATGCATGCAATCAAATTATTGCTGTTCTCGCCTAGCCTTTAAAGGTCAGGCGCCAACTCCGCGCAAACGCTTGCCACGTGCGTACGTGCACAGACGCTAAAACGTCACGTTAACATACATCAATATACAGACTACTCTTTGGACCAACTAGACAAATTATGATCTCCAAATCACTGGTAGCAATCTGGCAAACATTATTTGCCCTTTCTGGCATATTTCGTGCATCAGGTACGTAAGTGTCCTTGTACATTGGTACTGGTTTGACTGCACACAGTTCAATTCAGTGTACATGCAGTGTTTCTATTAGTTTAAATTAAAGTAAAACATCCTATGTTGATATAATTATATTGTATTATTAAATGTATACCCTTCTTATTAACTTTATCTGCCGAACTCCACAAATAATAGTGGTACAATACGTATAATAAAATTCATATAAGCGGCTCACAACACAATTGTAAATTTATTTGCATTGGCTTCGTTTGGTCTAACCTAAACATTTATTTGTTCATTGCATTTTTAAATTAGCGCTGTATGCGAAGCTTCGACACTTAATTTCGATTATTTTACCAATTAGATAGTGCAGCAACTCTAAGAAACCACAGGCTGGAGCGTATGAATTTAGACAATTTATTTTAGTTAACCTAAGGTAATGGGATATACCACAAAAACGTTGTAAAGTTATGCTCAACATTCAGCTGTTAAACGAATAAAAATGTGTATGTACCATAGCAGTTGAACATATTAAGACTGCGTCATCAAGCAATTTTCTTTCCCGAATTCGGTTAAACGTATAAAGTGTTTCAATGCAATTCAAAATTTAATTAGGCGCAACAATATTCCACTCTATTTACCACCCCCAATAATTATCCTATAAAATACACTTTTTCCAGATGGTTGTAGAAAAATCTATTGTGATGTGCATGACCCTTACTCGTTTCAGTTGTATGAACCAATACCGAATGCAGACTTCAATGAATACTTTACAAAAGTAAGCATTTAAAGTGATGGTATATGTGAAAGCGTGTTTTTCTCTTTAATTTCGAATTGCTGTACGAATAGGATCCATGCTTTGGTGAAATGTACACGCCTCTACTTTGAATTGTTACCTACTGACTGACAATATTAAACGCCATTAGCGAATACCGATAGTAAGGCTCTCTAAAAAGCAATATTTACAGTGATATGGACCTTACACTTTTTGCTAAACATATAGACAAGCAACTTGAAACTCAATGTGACGCGTTTAATCCTTCAGCTCGGGTTAAATTAAATTGATACCAAGACAGAGGATATAATCGAGACCTAGACACCTAATTTAGAATGTGATTTAATTTTCATATACCTTCCACACTAGATGGATCCATAACTGACTGGGTATGACTGGGTCGGGTATAGCTTTCTAATGATGGCTAATTACCCATATGTTTAGCCGCCTTGCGGCGTGGTTCGAGAATTATCCTGAAAACCAAAAAAAGGACGATTGAGCCCAGTTACTGATCGATTGGTGCTAATTTACTTGGGTTTCTAATACATTATGTATAGTATCCGCAATAATCTGTATTCGCAATCCCTTTTGCCAGCTGACATTGCAGCAAACACAATGGGCTCCGTTTTGCCGGCGGCAGAAGTCATCGGAAAGAACACAAAAACAGTTCAATCGTTTCAATCCACTGGAAAACGGCAAAATTCCGCTTCTACGGCATCCGCGAGAAACGGTAAGTATTTAATGTGAGAGTAATTAAGCACGTGGTGTCAGGATAAAATCTATGCTTAAATGCAAACCACTGCTTCCCCTCTTTATCTACTATCCGACCATGAGATAATTCAGTAGCCTATATTCGAATTGCGTTTTCATGTAGTTCAGCCTTTTGCTTTGTCCCGTGAAATGTCTAAAGTTATGCATTCTACTGCAGGGCTTTTAGGATGTTTTCTGTATTTGCTAAACATGTAGACAAGCAACTTGAAACTCAATGTGAGGCGTTAAATCCTTCAGCTCGGGTTAAAGTAAATTGATACCAAGACAGAGGATATAATCGGGACCTAGACACCTAATTAAGAACGTGATTTAACTTTCATATACCTTCCACACTAGATGGATCCATAACTGACTGGGTATGACTGTTTTGGGTACAGCTTTCTGATGATGGCTAATGAGATAAAAAATGCCATTCCAGTTTCCCCGGTGTTTTTCGAATATTTCATTCTGCCTGTATGTTTAGCCGCCTTGCGGCGTGGTTCGAGAATTATCCTGAAAACCACAAAAAGGGACGATTGAGCCCTGCTAGTGATCGGCGGACGCTGACTCACTAGCGCTTGCTATTCATTATATAAAGTATCCGCAATAATGTGCATTTAAAATTCCCCTTTGCCAGGTGAATTTGCAGCAAACACAATGGGCTCCGATTTGCCGGAGGCAGAATTCGTAGGAAAGAACACAACAACAGTTCAATCCTTTCAATTCAATGGCGAAATGCAAAACCCTGCTTCTATGGCATCCGCGGAAAATGGTAACAATTGAATTTATGAGTAGTTTAGCACGTAATAACAGGATAAAATATATGCTGAAATGCATACAACTCCTTTTCTTTCTTCTCTACTATCCGACAATGAGTAACTTCAGTGGCCTATATCAAGATGGCGTTCCTGTGCATTTCATCCTTTTACTTCCCCCGTAAAATGCCTAAATCTATGAATTTTACCACGTGACATTTAGCACTTTTTCTGTATTAAACTAATTTATTAGCTATTACTACACGCATTTGCATAAAATATTCATCTCATATAATCTAATAATGTAAATTAAACAAATTTGCAAAGCCTTCTTGTAATTAGGTCAGCCTAGTAGTCATTCTGGTGGAGTCTAGATGATTTCTTAGGAAGTCCTGCTTGGGCAGTCAGCTTTCTGTTCGGTATTGGTGGATGCTATATGAGCAGGAAAGTTGGGCGGGTAATATCTACCAAAGTGTATTAAAATTAATGGCGCGATTTGGGGCGTTTGAAGCTGAGTAGATAGAGCGTTGGATTCCGCTAAAGGCTTTCTCATATCCCGCCGAACACATCGAGTTTTTTTTTCAAAATTGGATCAACTCAAATTAAGCAAATCTGCAAGCTTCCTAACAATACGTCATGTTTGTATTTGGAAACGGCGTATACAAATGTTATGAGAAAGTATATTATTTCGCAGAGGTACATTTAGATAAAACTGCACGTTCCAATACGTAGAGAAACTTCAAGTACAACACCACTGTTACCAA